CTCAGGGACAGTACCCAGGCCCTGAGGGCAAGCCCCAGGACTGGCAATTTTTTTTTTCATTTTGCCTGAGATTATTTACACACATAAATCCAGGCCATAATTTTATTTTGGTAAAAATGACAATTGAAGAACAGTTAGAATAGGCTCTGACTGTTATTTGGCTTAGCTAATTCTTCAGCAGTCAGTCAGTCCTAATATGGTAAACAGACCTCAGCTACATTTTTAGTGAGACAGGGTCTCTAATATATGTAGCCAAGGCTGGCTTTGACTTGTGATCTTGATTTAGTCTCCTGGGTGCTGGGATTTTAGGTATGTGTCACCACACCGGCTTCTCAAAATGCTATTTCAATACACTGTGGGATGCTGGGATCATAAAAATTAATGTATTTATCATATCAAATATTTACCTTTTTGTGTCATGAGAGCATTTTATAAATCCTCTATTAGCTATTCTGAAATATGTATTAACTATAGTTCCTCTGCAGAACTATTCCTCTCATCTAACTAACTTTGTGACCAACATCCTTCCCCTTGGCCTCTGGTTAACTACCTTTCTACTATATACTTCTGAGTTCCCTCCCTTAATACCATGACTGAAAAAGCATTCTTCTTAATGCAAAGAGGTTAGGGGGGAAGAGAGGTGTTGTTATTTCTCACACTCTTCCTTAGCTTTTTCCTCTCAAGGCTGGTCCTCTACTGCTTGATCCACACTTCTATTTCCAGCTTTTTGCTTGATGATTGGAGCTAAGATTCTCAGAAATTTGTCTGCTTTGGCTGGCTTTAACCCATGATTCTCAGATTTCGGCCTCTTGAGTAGCAGATCTCAGCTCACAGGTATGAGCCACCAGTGCCTAGCTTAGTGTTGCAATATCTGTATTCTTATCAACAGTAAGAAATTAAGAATCAAACATAACAATCTAAAAAAAGAAAAAAAAAGTAATAAGGCAACCAGGGGCTAGAGGTATAACTTGATGGTATAGTACAGTATGTTCTTAGGTTCATTAGAACAGCTCCTAGATCAGAGGTTTATAATCAAGAGTATGTTTACGAACCCCAAAATATAATGCCTAGTATTTTTAAGTTAGTCACAATGTAGGAAAAAAAATTAAACACTTTGCTCTTTACATGATTTTATTACTACTTATTGTCATTCTGACAACTTTTAAACTTATTGGGGGAAAAAATAACAAGAGTGGCCTGGAGTCTAGGGGTATGGCAGTTTAGAGTGCTTGCTTGAAAGGCACACAGTCCTGAGTGTGATCCCTAGCACTGGCCTCTACAAACCAACCAACACAATTCAGATCCAAAGCAACAAGAAAGATTTCTATTATCTTTCTTGTTGTGAAGAAAAAATCACTAGCACAGAAAAAAAAAAAGTGCTATCAAACCCAATAAAAGGATTTATGATCACAGATTATTGTGTTATTAATAATAGAATTATCTTTCCTCCCTCTCCTTCCCTACAATGTAA